TGCTGTTGGTAAGGAGAGGAGGGAAGCTAGCAGCACTGAGGGGGTGGGGACACACAGGGGGCCTGGGCAGTAGGGGGAAATGTATGGTGCAAAGGGAGGGTGATGGGTGCGGTGGGAGGGAAATTTCTGGAACCAATGGGAAGAAGAGAAGAAGCCAGTTTTCCGGTGCTGCAGAGGGAGCTATACAGGGGAACAGTTCTAGTAATTGCCTCCCACCACTGTGCTGATCACCCTCCCTGCCCACCTCTGATTCACCCAGCTGCCTGGGCCCCCCTGCTGGCCTGGGCCCCGTACAGGAGGACTGGTGGTACCCTCTTATCCACAGCCCTGAATACACCTATGATAAAAATTATAGACCCTTCATTTCATTGTAAGTGGGCAAACTTACAAAATCTGCAGAGGATCAAATAATTATTTTCCCCACTGTATGTTTTCATTAATCATATATGGTGGACTTATATATTCACATTTTATTTACCGCTGCAATTATTACATATATGTTCTAAGGGGTTTTTTGTATACCTATACCCATTGTATGCAGCTTTTTGCCTTTGTTTGATAGTGCTTTTTTGTATTTTACACTATGGATATTTTACCTTTGATTGGCTTACTTAATTGTATATAGCAAGTGCAAAGACAGTGCTCAAAATGCAAGTGATATGAATGATTCAAGTATCGGTTCCAGTATGTTATATGTGACATTGCACATCTGACACAAGCTATGGGATGAGTTGAAAAGATTATCCGATGTGCTTGCTAGAAAATCCCTATGCTGTGCATGCCAAGGACATAATGTATGCTGTAGCATTCCCTGCTGTGGTCAAACCTGACACTCAGCAGATTTTGTCATCTCTTACATGGGCAGCCATTCCTTTATGTATGTAAATATCATTACTTGCCCTGTAATACTTTACTAGTCCTTTAAATCTGTTTGCTGATTGCTGCACTTCTCAGGCTTTTACCTGCCTTTACCCACAGTCTTCTTCTGCTGTAATCAGCACACCAACAATCAACAGATGGCATTTCTCTGATAATTCCAGTTGAAGGGTTTTATTCAGTGTTTACTAAGTAGTTCTGAGTGCTAAGAGTTAAATGCCGTAATTGATGGAGAACCACCATATGACTACATAGAACTGGTTTCATGCAGATTTGTCATATAAAGCAGTACAAGGTATTATTTAACTAGTCCAAATGTTTCAGACAATCCTTGCACAATGAAAATCATAGATATTTCATTTTATTATAGAATGTATTGAACATACTGTTAGTGAATCAGCAGACTGAAGTCAAAGTAAAGGCTATCATAGCTGTTGGCTCTCAACCCCACCCTATTCAGTTATCATTCAAACACATCTGATATATTAAATTTGCATTCAATGACCTATAGCATTAAGGTATAACTAATGGCAAAACCTTTTTTTTTTTTTTTTTTTTTAGTTTTGGTAGAGTGGAGATTAGGGCCAATCCACACTATGTGTGGTGACCAGTATTCTACTGCACTGTAAAAAGGCAGTCACTGCGAGGATACAGTAAACAATTGTTTTATGTGTGTCTTATTCACACTGCAACACAGCCTGGAGCTTCAGACACGCACACTGTACAGGAGGGCACACCTATCTATCCAAGCACTCTGTATCCAATCAGACAGGCTTTTGCACTACATAGTTGATGGTAGATCTAAAGAAGATTGTACAGTCAGATTATATATTACATGGTGAGCTTTACAGACTTCTAGGGACAAACCACGTATACTTTTAATACTACTGCCTGCATGTCGGTACAGATGTGGGATCAATCTCCTGGAGGAGGAGAGCAGGTGCAGGGTGTGTGCTAATGAGATCAGCTGGTGAATTACTTCTTGTGTTACACTAATGGTGTACTGGTACATAGGGAACCTGGAATTTTGAACAAAATATACACATTCACACATAACTTTTTTTCTTCTATCCAAACAAGTGCAGGAATCAATTATGGACCATGTGGAAAGAAAGATGAGGCATAATGACAGCTGAACATGGATAGACCAGAGGGAGTAAACCTAGGAAGAGAAGTAACTGTGTGTGGACTAATGGGGCATAGAAGAGGTAGAGTGAAAGTTGTTCATGGTGGGGGCGGGAGAACTGGGCATGGAATATTGGGGGAGGGGGGGAGTGGATGAGAGAAGACAGAGTAGAGGCTAACTGGGAAAGAAAGGAAGAAGGCAGTAAGTGTGAGTACTTCGGAGAAGGAGAGAGGAAAGAATGTAGATGAGCTGAAGGAAGATCCAGGGGCACTGGCAAGAAATATAGTGCGATATCATGGACAATAGGGGGAGAAGGTCCAGTGGGTAAGCTGACAGTGAATGCAGCGTGGACATTGGAGGAAGAAGTGTCAGCAAATGTGGAAGGGGAAGGAGGAACTGTTGTAGAACATAGTGTGAAGTGTGGAAGTAGATGCTAGAAAATGCTGTGTACAGTTGATAGAGATCCACCAGAGAAGCTGCACGCTGTTAAAAATGTGTATATATTATAGATACTGTTAAAAAAGAAGACTTCCACAATGGTTTGGCACTGATAAGTGTATAGCATGTATATGTGCTGGGTCCCCAAAATGTCAAGAATGTAATTTCTTACTACATTTAATTTCTCTTTATAATATACATTGAGAATTAATTGAAACCCACTTGCCCTGTGAGCAACCTCATTGGGGCCAGCTGGTTGAGGCCAAAAATTCCAGTCAGGGCTCTGCTATACATATTGAGCACTCAAAAGAAATACTGGCAGAATCCGCAGTGAAAAGAGGAAATGTCAATTCTTTCAACAGCTTTAAATATATATAGATTAGAAAGGATAACAGAGAATATGATGTAGGAGGTTAAGGAAAACATTCTAGATGTCTCCTACCAAAAAACTGGAGAAATCCCAACTGGCATACCTTGTTGACTGGCAGTACTGGCAACTAAAGAGAATACTGTTAGCAAGGAGTTGGTCTAAAATAAATTCATTAAAGTGAGTGCAGCCAGAATTTTGGGTGATTCATGTCAAAGTCTCATTAGAAGCATTATCTCCAGGAACATGTTTGCAAACTTGACAACTGTCCTTGATTTCCAGGAATAGTACCGACCTTTAAAGGATTGTCCCACAAACTATTTTCCTCTGGAAATTTTGTGATGCATGCCACATTTCTCTGTATGTTAAGTGCAATTAGTATGTATTAATTATATTTTTTTTAAATGTATATAGATATATATGGGCAAGCATTATTCAAAGCAACATTCAAATACAAACAAATTAAATTGTGAGATTTCTTTTCAAATTTTCACAGATTTGAAATAATATACATAATAATATAAATACATTGAGTACAACATCGCTGTAAGACTGAATCCTTCTGGAGCCCTGGTGCCCAACCCAAATGACCCTCATTTCCTCTATTAGGTCTGCAGTTTCTGATAGTACTCTAAAGAATTACATATATTGAATGTGAGGTGAGAGGGCCCAATTTAGCTCATAAGGTGACAACAACTGTTTTTAGAGAATACTCTAATATTAAAATATCAAAACACTTATAGCAACAGCATGCATAACTGAGCAATATCTACCACATATTCACCTGTTCCCTATAGGAATTGTTGCCATCATTGGACCATGATTCTTCCTCTTGTTCATCATCTGGACCCATACACAAGCTCACTGTGACTGATACACTATGTTTGAGCTCTCAGTTTGGAAATATTTAAAGGATAAGTTCACCTTTTGTAAAATGATAAATGTTACACCCATATTCAAGATGAAACATGTACCATGTTATGAAAGGACCGGCCCCCGCCCCCCGATCACCCATTTTGCACAGTATTCTGTGAATGGGAAATTTACAAGTTCTGACAGCCTTTTCAGCTGTTGTCTTGTAGTTCTCAATGAACTACCACTGTGCTGTTGAGCGATGTGGTATTTGTTTGAATTTTCCTTTCAGTGTGTATCTGCGTGCCCATATGATTTACGAGCACGCAGATACACTGACAGGTCTGCAAGAGTCCTGCATGGCACCTGCGATCTGTTGACTGCTGGTGCAATACTTTCCAGGCTCCTAAAACAAAAAAAACGTGCATTTATTATTTTGGTTAATAAGTTAACTTATCCTTTAAGGATGAGCATGGTGAATAACTGTTATATAATGATAAATGGAAATGATTGGAAATGTCAGCTACTCTGTCCTCCCTAGTGCTTTTACTCTCCTACACACTTTTGTGAGCTTCCTTTTGTTGATTCATACACAATGTGACTCGCATTTTCTTCTGAATGTTGTTGAAGAATTGTAAAAAAAAGAGTACAGAGTTTGTGTAAGGAAACCCAAAATTTATTTTAGTATGTTTGGCATCATGTATCACCGTATGATGTTTTCTAATTTTTTTTTCAAATCATTTGCAAAATTTCATAACCTGAAGATCTTGTCTGTAACAACACTTCCAGTTGCAAGCTGACAACACTAAGTCTACCATGCAAGGTCCTTCAGTTGGCTGATGGGTTGCTTATCTGATCTACCAAATAGCCAGCCCAATGGCCAACAAAAGGAAGTTCAAAGATTGTTCTGCTTCTAATTTTGAGTCAGTGGCTTAGCGTTGTCAGCTTGCAACAGCAAGTGCCCTTATGGGCAGGATCTCCAGTTAAGAAAGCTTACAATTAATTCACAAATATGATTTGCTTAAGAAACGGTTAATGGTTGAACTGGATGGACTTGTCTTTTTTCAGCCAGACTATGTAAAACAGTATATAATAAGGCATTATGCTGAACATACTGAAAAATAAACAGATTTAGGGTTTCCATACATTTTAATTGTTTAATATTGAATATGTTTTGGTTTACAGTGTTAAAACATTAAAGAGTTGTTAAAGAGTCTAATTATCTGTGAACGGTTTGCACTGACATTACTCCTTTTTGATTTTTGAATTGCTATGATTCTGCTTAGGTTTATTTAGCTTGAATGGTTAATACCCATACTTCAACCATTTTCCCCTTTATAGGAAGGACTTGGCTTTGGAAGATGCGATCCTTCCCGTGCTATCTGCACCTTTCAGGAGGATTTCCAGGAATTTGAAATGATTGATGAGGAAGATGATGAAGAGGAAGAGGAGGAAGAGGAGGAACTCCAGCCTCAAGAAGACAGAAAACAAGATGAGTCGCCTCCATCACCAAGTCCTTCACCTCTTCCACCTGAAGATTTACTGAAAAATAGGCCATGCACTCTGAGACTTAGTGCCCCTAGAACCCAGGTGAGGTTTCAGATATGTGAGTTAGAGGAACAGAAGGAGCCTGGAAGACATATGGATATGGTTTTCACAATTAATGAATATGAGTACATTAGAAGGGAGTCTTTACATTTAAATAATAGGATAATAATACATACTTGACACTACATATAAACTTTATAATTCTGTTTAGTATTGATCACAGATTTATTAAGGTATTTCAGTTCTAGTATATGTTTAGTCTGTTTTTCGTAATAGCGGTTCTAAATGTAAGCAAATTAACATCACCAACAATTAACAACAGTGTTAGCACTCTAAAACAACATTTTTCTTAAAAGGGTTTTGAGTCTTTAAATTCTCAGAGTACGTCTGCTGGTATTTCCTTCATGCAGTCTGGCTGCCACAGAAACAGTTTTGACTTCATGCTTAACCAAAAGAAGCCAGTACGTGTGATTTAAGCCAATTAAGTAGGGATCTACCTGCAGATTAGCAGGGATCTGAAAAAAATAGTTTTCTACTTTTCAGCATGGCTCATATGCAAAAAGGGTCTTCCAATTATACCACTTAAAGTGGCAAGCTGATTAATTGCCTTTGTGGTATTAGGGCTTTAGTATATTCAAGGGAGTTGATTTATTGAGAAATCTATGAATTTCTTATAAATTATTATTATTTCTTATAAGTAATACATGTTATAAAACTCTACTGCTTGTATGCCTGCATCCATGCTTTTTGTTTTGTATAGGCCGCATTTGGTATGATGGGAGTCAAGTAGATAAATATGTTTTCTCACTTTAATAAAGAAACTCTTCCTCTATATGGTGACCATTGGTGAAGTTTTCTTCCCAAAAAACACCTTTCATCTCAATTATTGCTATACTAGCAGTTGCCATTTTTCAAACTCAGTTTTATTTAGCTCACTTTATGTTAACAGTGATCACCATGCCATTTTTTATTTGCAGTGAAATTCCTTTAAAACCTGCTCCTATAGAGCATTTAGTATGGGGCCAGTGGTCACTCACCTGGTGGGTTCTCCAAAGGACTGTAATGCACTCAGAGATGGAAATAGGAAGGTCCGCTGAAAACATTGCTATGGATGTCACTGGGAAAGGAACTAAGGAGAAATCTCCTAATGGGTACATATAAAAACAAACCTGGCAAAGGATCAAACACTTTCTTACTCTATTTAAAAAAATAAAGACAAAATGTTTTCACTGCAGTTCAAATTTTGTATCACAGAATGACCTGATAAAAGAGAGTTTCAGCTTGAAACTGTGACTTGTCTTAGCCGATCCTTTTATGGATGTATACATGTGAAAGCCTCAGTCAATGCTGATCCTTGGGCCATGCCCCCTGAAATGTTTCACACCACCTACTGGGGCCCATAGGGGCCCCCTGGAGCGGCACCACCAAGAACTTATGGCCTTATTGTGATAAAAGAGAATAGTGCTATTTAAAATATATAACCTTCCTTAAAGTTTGGTATAGTGTAGCAGAGATAATTTAACAGCAGCATATAAGACTGGGAGCAATAATGGCAGAAATATAATTATATTGACTTGTTTAAGACCTTGGTCATAAAGGACAACTCTGTAAAACTTCATTTAGGTAACTGGGGAATTGATTCCAACTGTTATTGTAACACGTTCATATTTTTCAATAAATAAATAAATCCCTTCTTGTCAAATAATGGAGTGGTAGCTAGTATGCTCCATGCATTACTCTTTCTATACCCGCTCTCGCAAGTGTAACCATTGAGTTCACTTTGACAGCAAAGTTTCTGGTCTGTGTTGCAGGAGCTCTGACTGCTGTGTGAATGACTTGTGTAATTGCTGCATTGCTCTGCATAAATACAGTGTAATAATATTGTTACAGAGTATTTTGTTGTAGCACTTAAAAGTAGGAATAGGCTGCTGGTTCAGGACAAAACTTCAGTTGCAGCAGGAAGTGAAACATCTTACAGCATTATTACTACCACTGATGAATGTGACAGCTTCCTGCTCAGGTCTCCTAGGTGTTAGGGAGTCGGCAGCATCCTAACATCCAGTAATTTGTCCCTGCCCAGCCCATTCAGCTTTCAGTTGTGGATTCCTACATACCCATTGCTACATTTCTTTGTACCTCTTACTGTGTTATTGAGTAAGTGATACATAGTTCCCCTACTCATTCACAAAAAAATGTAAATAGCCAATAAGACATTCACTTTTTCATAAGTAATTTTTAATAAATAAACACCTCTCAAAATATCCCACAATGTAAGTCCATTGTTATTCACGTTGCTCAGAAATACAGATCTGTGTCAATCACGATTAACAAAAAAGCCACTGATACTGGCACCATCTGCTTCTGGCGACTGTTCGCTGCAAATGACAGCTCTGGTTCCCTAAAGAAAATGGTAAGGTATCCCCATGGTGTCATTGACCAAGTATAGGGTATTTATTTTCAAAGGCCACTTCCAGATTTCACTAACTCCTCCCCGTCAACAGTCCCAACAACCCTCAGGCCAGGGTTCTAGGAAAAAAACTTTGTCCTCATCGACATGACAAGGTGCTTTCCTAGAAGGATGCCTCTGTCAAGGCATCCTCCCCATACTGAGGGCAATTGGCCCAGTATAGTTTAGGAAGGGAGGGGCACACATGTGTATACCCCCTTTACCCCTTTCTTAGCCAGCCAAGCTGCATGCTCAAGAAAAGGCCTGGTATGTATTCTTAGATAGTATTGTTAGATCACCTAGGATAAGTGCCTAGTATATATGAAGGGAATCCCTGGCCACTTTACAAGTTTTCCTTGTAAATGTCAATTTTATTGTGAAGGCAGGTAAAGACATTCCCCTGGCATGTTATTTAAAGGAATTTTTGCATATTTATGTTGTCCTTCAAGCATTCTTTAAAGTGCTGCTCCCTCCTCAAACTGAAACACTAGTTTGCTTTGGAACTTGTTCCCCAGCTCAGTTCCCAGTACCCTGTGCCAATTGTTTGATAATCCTTACTGTTTTTTAAATAATGACTTCAATGGGGTTCAAATTTTGCACCAAAATATTTACGTTTGTGAATGTACCCTGAATCCAAACCTTGGACATTCAAATCATCACTACTTTTAAGCAGAAAACAAAGGTTAGCCCTTGCATCTGCTTATAATGTCTTGTTTCACACTGTGTTTCTATGTGAAGGCGAGCATCCTGGCAGGGCTTTGATTTGCAGGGCTTTGCTTCCTTGAGTCAGAGCTTTTAGAAAAGGTAACAGTGAGCAACACAATACTGACATCACCGAATGTCACTCCAAATCCCCTGGAACTATAATTCAGAGTCAGCAATAGTTCTCACATTACAGATATTACAATAGTGATGGCACAGGATTGCCTAGGCACCCACAGACATACCAGGAATGCCCCTTAATTTTTCAGGACAGATTCCAGACAAAACATACATTTTTAGGGTACTGTTTGGGCACAATTAACACTTCTAACATAGCAAATCCTCACATTTTAAATACTAATTTAACCATTTATGTATTTTTCTTACTAATAACCATAATAGCCCAATATAACTAATTCATCCCCTTCTCTCCTTAGCTCATTTTTACATTTTATTTTATTTTTACCTTTATTTCTTTTCTTCCTTTACAAACAACTTGGCCATACTTTGCTTAAGATTTTCTGTATTTGTTTTGGTGCAACAAATATCTACATAAAATTGTAACATTTGATATAGGTATATTTAAGAATTCAGGTATGGCAATTTGTATATTATTACACTGGTCCAGTTTGGAACAATGTAACTATGCATATACCATAGGAGCTGGAAATCACTGCAGTAGATACTGCTACTCCAGTGATCTCCACTAGCTTCCGGGTCCTTTGCCGAGTGGCTGCCCTGCTGAATTCTGAACACAGGGTTGACCATTGGGCAAGGACGCCATTCAGAGCATGCAAAACACTCTTTGATTGGACAAAGTGGAGAGCATGACATCACTTCCTCATCTCTCCACCTTGTTTAATCAGAGACTACTTTGCAAAGCAATATCTGAATGGCACCCATATCATGTGGCAAGATTCCAAACTGGACAGTGTAACTATGTAAAATATGCCATACCTGGAATTCTTCTTTAACATTAACCGTGGTCCAGCTATTTTTTTACTTTTTGGCTTTTGAATGTATATAGAAACCACCAAAAAAGCCGTGTTTATCCCTTACCCCAAAAAAAAATTTGCAAATTTTAAGAGCATTACAGTGCTTTCGGCCATAGTTACAAAATTTTGCTACTCATGTTAGAGTTTCAGCAATAACCAACACACACTGTTTATTATTTAACTGATATGTTCGTCTGTCTCATATCTGACAAAAATTTCACTTAAAGGGATGAGACCAAAATAAATAATACATTCCTAAACAGCTGACCAGTAAAGCAATTTAGGCAAATTTTTAATATGGCCATTCTTTGTAGCATAATAGCAGTAGGACCATTCTGGACTTGTACGTTTTTAAAGTAGTCCATATAAATGAACAGTACATTAGTTCAATCTAATAGCAGTAGAAGGAATATCACAGATCATCCATCATTAAGATATTACTAATATGATTCTTTGCCAATATGAAAAATGACTCCTGATTACTAGTTTCCTAAAATAGTCATATGTGTTCAAGGAGTCTGAATAAACCATTATGTCATTTTTTTCCAAGAACTTGTCATTTCCTTGTTTCGCAGAAAGATTGTGTGACTGCCACACGTTAATGTCATCTATGCAGTGAAACAATGACATAATGGACCTACAGACACCAGATGATAAAGACAGATACAACTGCATATAATTAACAAATAGATAAAATTAGATACTTATTAATTAATTTAGGTAATATAAGCTTATGTACATTAAATGAGAAAGGGCATGAAAATATATAGCAGAATCCGTAGACACTGAAGTACCAATTGCAAAATATGTTCACAAAAGCTTAAAAAATACTTAGGCCAGAAACTGAAATTACATTTATAATGACTTTAAGACCAATAGCTATGAAAGCAGACGTATTCCCCTCACAATATTCCATGGAAAATAGGTAATCACACTCTGGGAGTATTCACTCTTTTTTCCTTTATGGAAGTAGAAATGTAATCACTACAAAGACTGAAAACACATATTTGTCAGTAAAAATTCTGATGAAATGTGATATAGAAAATTAGACTGCTTTATTAGCAAAAAATAAATAAATAACTTTGAACTGTATTTAAGAATATGAGTGAGATGTAAGAAATATAATTTCCGAGCATGCTGCTTCCCCTTTCAGTAGATATTTAGAAATTTTTCAATAAACTGATGGCTTTGTGCAAAGTTTGACATTCCTTTTTAGTTTTAAGATAGTCACATAGATTACATTTATCTGATACAGAAGCTCAACTACAAACCAATGATATTGTCTCATTATTACTGGGCATTTAGTAAGTCAAAAGACTGACGTGCAATCACACACCACTGCTACTCTGCATAGTCAGGCAAATGACACCCCTATTTCCTGATTCGGGCATTGCAGCCTCCTTGGTCAGTTCTATACCTCTAGCCTGCTGGCTGGAACAGAGCAAGACCATCCATAATGCAACCAAGGCAGAAGGCTTGGACCAAGCTACAACCTTCTTGCTTCTATAATAAATGAGGACACTAGCAATGGGGTGTTCAACTGCCTGCCACTTCTCAAAGGAGGATGAATGTGGTGTCTGATGGGATGAGGTGGCTTCTCTGGAATGAAGTGGGGTGCCAAAGCTGCTACCTTACCCATAGCCCCAATCTGCCCTAATCTGTCTCTGCACTGGGCAATAATTCAGTATCAACACTACTGATTAATTGTCAAATGAACAGGAAGCTAATAAAGGAAGTTGTAAAAATATATTTTTTTTTAAAAAAAAAGCTTCATTAAAACTTTTTTAAGGCATACAGGCTTTAGAAATACCCACAGTGCAATGTTAGGGTATAATGTAGTGGGAAATCAAATACCGCTCTCATCTTCACAAAGCTACGGCCAGCCATAAATTACTTTCAGTTATAGAAAACACACATCTGCATCCAACAGTCAAAGATAACAATGATAGCAGGGGCATGTTTGTAAGGCACACAATGGAATCAAATACTATAGTAATAACAAGCCTCTAGCAAACCTGCATATATAACATAGCTCAGAATCTTATTGATGACCATTTCTACTGGGGCTAAGCCTGGTACATTGAGCCAAATACCCCACACTCTTTCAAATTTAGAGGAGCAACCGTGGTGCTGGTAGATTACTTTTTCATATCTAAGGGTAGTACCCTTATGGTCAATCCATTCCTTAAGAGATGGAGGAGAGTTACTTTTCCAGTGGGAAAGTATAGTCTTACATGCTTAAAACAATGCCCTGGAAACCGCTTCTTTGATAAAGGCATCCAACACAATATCACCTAGGATCCCCAGCAAGCAACACCTGGGTCAGAGGGAATATCTGTCTAAGATACATTGTTAACTGTGGCTAGAATAGATGTACAGCACCTGTGCAATTTGGGACATCTCCACAGAATGCTTATTATAGATCTCTGATCCCTATTGTGTAAAAAGATAGTTTGAATTAATAATGCATATACAGTGAGGAACAGAACACCCTGTGATTTTGCAAGTTCTCCCACTTAGAAATCATGGAGGGGTCTGAAATTCACATTGTAGGTGCATTCCCACTCTGAGAGACAGAATTAAAAAAAAAAATTCAGGAAATCACATTGTATGATTTTTAAAGAATTTATTTGTCTTGCACTGCTGAACATAAGTATTTGAACACCTGAGAAAATCAGTGTTAATATTTGGTACAGAAGCCTTTGTTTGCAATTACAGAGGTCAAACGTTTCCTGTAGTTCTTGACCAGGTTTGCACACACTGCAACAGGGATTTTGGCCCACTCCTCCACACAGATCTCCTCTAGATCTGTCAGGTTTCGGGGCTGTCGCTGAGCAACACGGAGTTTCAGCTCCCTCCAAAGATGTTTTATTGGATTTAGGTCTGGAGACTGGCTAGGCCACTCCAGAACCTTGATATGCTTCTTACGAAGCCACTCCTTGGTTATCCTGGCTGTGTGCTTTGGGTCGTTGTCATGTTGGAAGACCCAGCCACGATCCATCTTCAATGCTCTGACTGAGGGAAGGAGGTTGTTGCTCAAAATCTCACAATAAATGGCCCCATTCATCCTCTCCTTAATACAGTGCAGTCGTCCTATCCCCTTCACAGAAAAGCACCCCCAAAGCATAATACCACCCCCATGCTTCACAGTAGGGATGGTGTTCTTGGGATGCATTGGAAAACTTTGGACGGGCCTGGACATGTGATGACTTGAGCAGGGGAACCTTCCGTGCAATGCATGATTTGAAACCATGACAGCGTAGTGTTCTACCGACAGTGACCTTTGAAACTGTGGTCCCAGCTCTCTTCATGTCATTGACCAGCTCCTCCCTTGTAGTTCTGGGCTGATTCCTCACCTTTCTTATCATCAGTGATACCCCACGAGGTAAGATCTTGCATGGAGCCCCAGTCCGAGGGAGACTGACAGTTGTCTTAAGCCTCTTCCATTTTCCAACAATTGCTCCAACAGTTGATCTATTTTCACCAAGCTGCTTGGCAATTGCCCCGTAGCCCTTTCCAGCCTTGTGGAGGTCCACAATTTTGTCTCTGGTGTCTTTTGACAGCTCTTTGGTCTTGCCCATGGTAGTAGTTGGCGTCTGACTGACTGTGGGGTAGACAGGTGTCTTTAAAGAGCTCAGACAGGTGCTGCTAAGTTAGATTAACGAGTGGAGTAGAGGTGGACTTTTTATAGGTACAGTAACAGGTCTTCGAGAGCCAGAATTCTTGCTGTTTCTTAGGTGTTCAAATACTTATGTTGAACAGTGCAAGACAAATAAATTCTTTAAAAATCATACAATGTGATTTCCTGAATTTTTTTTTAATTCTGTCTCTCAGAGTGGGAATGCATCTACAATGTGAATTTCAGACCCCTTCATGATTTCTAAGTGGGAGAACTTGCAAAATCGCAGGGCATTCAAATACTTCTGTTCCCCACTGTACAAAAACACATTTAGGAGCTATGTCTTAGTTTATAAGTTTGTATATATAAATATATGACTGTGGTAGGTACAGTATGTAGTGTATTGGTTTGAGATATTCTATTCTCTGAATCTCAGGACACACTTAACAACAACGGTGGATTCATTTCTCAGAGTGACAGCTGGGCAGATCCTGAGAGAAATGAGACCGGTGAGAGCGTTAGACTCTTTGCATGTGTATCTATTGCTACTTTCATGGTGTTCCTCATTTGTGTTGTTTTACTGCATCTTTATTGTAGCAGGGAATCTTTCCTCTATAATAAGAAAATCAGTCAGCTTCAGATGGATTTATCATATTCCCTTTTTCTGTGATGACACATCTCTTCCCTAATACTGTATCTTCTTTTGCTTGGACATATCTCTAGCTTTGTGAACAAAACTGCAGTCTGCATGCGTGTCATTTCCAAATATGCTTTCCCTATTTTTCATATCTCATTATATATTCTGTGTTTCTATTTAAAATGTTGTATTCATACATCTTCTTAAACCTACAGAATTGGTGTCCCATACCCAGGTTTCTCAATGTGATGTAGACTCTCACAAAGAAGCTGACAGTGACAACAATGAAACAGAGCTGGAAAGGGAAGAAGTCATTGATGTGTCTAGGTTAGCACCTGAAAGCAATCACCGTTCCAGCCATGTTGACTCATGGCATTCAGGTCCTGAGTTTAGGGTATCTACACTACCCCAAGAGAATGTGGAGGATCTGAGTCCTGATCCAAGAGAGAGCACAAGAGGTCATCCATCCAATTCTTCCAATGAAACTACATCTCCATCTTCAGATCCTGGTATTGAGGCAGATCTCACCAGTAGAAATCGATTTATGCCAGCTGGACACAGCATCCAGGATTTAAGCTCTCCTGGCTCAGATTCAGATATAGAAGGTGAAATAGAAGCAGCTTTTGCTTGTGAAGGTGGCAGGCTTGTGGGCAACATGATCTCATCAATATCAGAAACAGAGCTTGATTTGACTAGCGAGTCAAGCAGTGGTCGGTCCTCTCACCTCACCAACTCCATCGAAGAGGCTAGTTCCCCAACCTCTGATCCAGAACCGGATCCCGTGGGAGAGGGAGGACTTCAAGGTCTAAAAGACTCTATTTTACTTGATAAGGAAGATGAGAGAGGTCCTATAATGATGGAGCCTGAGGAGAAATACAATACATGGCATGTAAATGAACAAAGTTTAGGCAAGGTGGTAGCTGGTCAAAATAAAGAACGTAGTTTGGAAAGTATTCGAAGATCCTTTTACTTACCAGTTGGTCCCAAGTTAATGCCAGAGACAGATGTAAACAGTGAATATGACTCAGACTCAGAATCTGAAGCTGATCTGAGTGAAGATTCAGATTCTCCTTGGCTGCTTAGTAACCTAGTTAATAAGATGATTTCTGAAGGTTCATATCCTATAACCTGCCCAGATGATTGTCTTCAGAGGCAGACAAGCCCATCCTGTGACACTCTTTCTCCTGCCTCTGAATTAGATCCTGAGACTGTTGGGCAAGAGATAGATGCTGACCTTTCCACCCCAAATGATTCCCCAAAAGAAGTGGATGAAGACCAACAGAGCATAGAGCTTGTGGATATGGAGACTCTGCAACATTCTCTGAGCCATCATGATAGAGAAGAAAGTGGTCCTGGTTTGTATGTCCTACATGATTCATGTGACACAGTTACTCCAATCTTTGAAGGACTTCCCCGCCATCTGGAGGGATTATCTCATACAGCTAAATGTCGATCCCAATCTCCAGGACATCAAATTGAAAAGAAACCTTGGTCTAGGACAGAAGAAATTTTACAGGAGCAAAGGGATGGCTGGGATATTGACCGTGACTTAGATTCTGGAATTCTGGAAGATAATGATCTTTGTGATGATCTCTGTCAAGAACTGGACCAAAATCAGCCAACAATGGACATTTCGACAGCTAAAACTAACCGTGGCTTTAACCTAGAATATTCTGTTGAAGATGATGAAGACATTCCTTATTACAGAAGCCTGAAGGGATCTCCTTATCAGAATTGTGTGGAAGAAGAATCTTTTATGGAGAACCATACACCTGAAACACGACTTCTGGATGACTCTTTGGCTTATGACTCAATGAAATACACACTTGTGGTGGATGAGCACACTCAGCTGGAACTGGTTAGCCTTCAGAGATGTACTTCAATATTAAGTGATGGTAGTGACCTCCTGAGAGCTTGCGATAATTGTGATTTGGAGGAAGATGAATTTGGAGATGAAGCTGAAGTTCATGAACACGAATCTTCATCAGAAGACTCATCACCAGAGCCCAACATGCCTTTTTCCAAGAAGTTCCTCAATGTCTTTGTAAACAGCACATCACGGTCATCAAGTAAGTTTTTTTCACATAGAGAAAATACTGCTGCCTAACTAATCTGATTACTTGCTATACTTCACACCTTTTTCCTTTCATTTTTACTGCACAGTTATTCACAAGCCACTAGAACCAAGTTACTGGATCACAGCAGAAACAGCAATAGCATGGCTGTTGTGGTCCACAGGTCATTGTGGTGTTGTTATGTCTTGCAGATTCATTGAGCTATCTAATGAAACAAAATGTGACTTTGTTTAAAGTTAAGTGACCCATACTTGGAAATTCTAACTTTGGTTTTCTGTAGTCAAATCAGTCAAGACATACTTTCATATTGGATGTTATGGGTTTCTTCACTTATGCTACTTTATTAAAAGGACCTGAAGTACTGAAGAAATACCATGTATCTTTCACTTAAAGAGGTTTTGTATGTTATGGCCTGGCAATGTTAAAGCCAACTTTCTTCTATAGTAGTTTTTAACCAAGTATGGCAGATTTATAACCTCTGTTAGGTTGCAACAGTGTTCTCCAATGTACTACAAGGGTGTTTTAGTTGCTGTTCTTTTTCTCTGTAAAAGTGATTTCCCTTGACTTCTTGCTGTCTTGTTCCTGAAGAAATAAAAGCATATAAAAATAAAAACCTGACAAAGGTTCCAAACCTTGCCAACACTATCCTAAACTAAAAAGGTTTGGCTTGAGTTAGCTTTGACCTCACCTTTTGTGCAAAATAAAGAAGATCTGTAATTTTATTTTTTTGTTACAGTTATTTCCCCTGTGGGACAAAGTACATGTAGTAATTTGTCACATGTTGCTAAGTGCTTTCTAACCATATTCATGAGTTCGGAGATCATGAGGTCTAACCTGTCCTCCTCCCTTCCATAATTCAACACCAAGAAGACAGCTGAATCATAAATGCAACTTGTCTTGGCTGTGAACACTTTCCACAGACCAGCAGTGGATGAAGGAATGCTGAGCCTGAAACATCTCCCCAGCCTCAAAGTCTCCCTCAAAGTTGTTGTCAAATTGGCCATGACAGGATGAGAGGGGGGAAGATCAGGCCTCATAACTACAGTTAGCAATTAGCAACATGGGACAAAGAACTACATGTACTTTGTCCTACAGGGGACAGAAGTGTAACAAAACATTATAAGAATAGGTCTTCTTTAAGCCATGTCAACCTATACTTGCCAAGTCCCACTGCTACGTCTCAAGAGTTAGGTTGTAGAAGATTTTAATGTTACAGCAATGTTCTGATTGCTATAAGATATTGAAGCCTATCACATGTAACTTAGGTCTTAAACAAGACACTTCTCTTGAACAAGACATTACCTTTTAGATAACTGTTAACACCAACTACATTATGTAACTACCCCTCTCTCCTGCTTAGCATAATTTGTTACTACTCAAATACACCTACTCCAATACCGGCCTTTATAATGTAGGCCGAAAACTGCTAAAGGATTATCATAAAGACATATGTCACATTCACTACAGGAGGGATGATAATGTGTGATTTCTAAAAGGGATTTGCCCACTTTCAGCATCGCTTGCTGCGACTGGACAGAACTGGGTTACATAGAGTTTTCTTGGAATTATTAACAAGTGCTTCCAACCGTTGCCTTTTAAGTAGAAAATAAAACAAGCATTATACTGCACATGTGCAGCACTGACTGGTCTTAGAGACATATGGATGGGCTTGAGGATAGGCAGATGTATTCCTGTCTTTCATTCCTCGTGAATCACATAATGTTGGGGTCAATGTGAAATTAGGCAAAGAAAATGCCTTTTAATTGGTCTGTGATCATGACCTTACAGCTTTCTGTTTCCTTAACCATGTTTTTTTTGGGTGTTTTCCATAGGCACTGAATCATTTGGACTATTTTCTTGTGTATTAAATGGAGAAGAGCGTGAACAGACACACCGAGCTGTTTTCCGGTGAGAAAGTCTTGCTTTTAGTGGAAGTGTGCATAGTTGTATAAAGAAACCAACTGCCTAATGCTTTATTTCAATTTTGCTCCTACTAACATTTCAATCAAACTATTTGGGCATGATGAGCTTGAGTTTGTTGTATACTCGTCATACCCCCAAATCTTTCTAATTAAAAACACAGAGTCAGCACTGTGTGGTACCTAGAGGTAGTAACTCCTCTTCTGTGTGTCTAGAGAGCCCAGTGATTCTGACAGTACAATCCAACTGCAGTCAGGATACTTCTCTTTTCAGAGCTGTGCCTCATTGTCTCACAGTGCCTTAGCTGCATTAAATGATTTTTTCAGTGGTGCACTGTGGGCAGAGGAAAAACATAGAAACTGAATCTGAAATGAACGTCTCTTGTTTGGTCCCTTTTGCTCTGTTAAATCTACAATTAAAGTGTTTTTTTAACATCTGATAAAATAATACCTGTTGATCCTGCCAAAAATCTTGTCAACTGATAACTTCCTGTGCTTTTTGCCTTTGCTGCACTCCCATCAGCTACATTGTTCCCAGCTTTCTTTGAGATCTAAAAAGCTGCTCCATACATGCATACAGTGCAGTTTTGTAAGCATTGTCACCCTAGGAAAGGAAATGTGTTACTATTAGAATCAGTGGCGTCCCTAAGGTTGGTGTCACCCGATGCGGTAACACTTGGTGACACCCCCTCCGACGATCCCCGCAGTCCGATCCATTATCCTCCCCAATCTGCAGATCCGATCCATCCTGTGGGGATCGTCGGCTTGCAGCCTAACTGATCTCTCCACCAGCTCCACAAAAAGGTACGTTTTAAAGCAAGCCCCCCCCCCCCTCTGCCTTCTCTCTCTCTGCCCTCTCCCCCCCCTACCTACTACATGAAGCTGCAGTGCTGTCACCAGGGTCGGGGGATTACACACTTACCTGCTGCATACTCTGCCTGCCCCTACAGCACTCTGACTTCAACATCCATGGCAGGGATGTGGACCCACCCCTCTGCTGAAACTCTGAGGAGGAGAGGTGTCCGAAGTGCCTGCCTCACTGTCCGTCCCCTCAATGCCTGCTTATTTCAGAAGCGGCACATACAGGGACGGTGAGAGCCTCTCATGGGGCCCTGCAGTGACCCCGGGCCCTCAGGCAGTGCCCGATTGCTCAGTCCACCCCTGGTGGAGCAGGTCCGGTGTCACCGCGTGAAAAAGGTGTCACCCGGTGCGGAGCATGCCCCCCCACACCTGCTTAGGGACGCCCCTGATTAGGATCACCAGGTGAATGTAAAGGAAAAAGGCTTGAAAAAGAAAACAAATACCGCCACCACAAGTAAAAGCTGGTAAGATGCAATATATTAGATTTTTGTTCTTTGGTTTAAATATGCTTTGAAAACATGTATAATGTGTGAGGTAATCTGTAAGCCCACATTTTAGTGACTAGATTTTTTTAAGTAATGGTAGTCTGGTACTGGAAGTTTCTCAGCACAAGGTTTCCAGTGCAATGAATACTGTAATGCTGAATATTTCACTGTCTGTGTCCCCTGCACTACATCGCCCTCTAAAATGTAACCATCCACTCCCTGAGCACTTGATACCTAACCCCTAATATGATGAGGCTTTAGTTTCCTAAAATGGAGCTAGTGTCCATGAACTTACCTTTCCTTCGATGGTGCAATGTCCAGTGCCGGCATCTTCTATACAGCTTCTTCAAGGTGCTGGGCTGTGGCCATCTCCATTGGCCGGCACGGGAGGAGTTTGTGTTCTGAACTATTCTAATGAAGTAGTGATCCATAGCTAGACTTTCTGTTGTTTTAGAACCTTATAGAGACTATGCTATGCAGCCACATTACTCTAATTGAACCACAGAGACATTGCTGTGAAGAGGTCATGTTTGTGCAGGTTTTATGATGTTTTGTATTATTTTGCATTGTATGCATGCTCTATTCTATCCTGAACCAGTGTTGTATTATTGCTTCTAACTTGCACCTCTTCTGTAAACTGCAAGTTAAAGTTATTTTCTATCTGATTATTCATCCAATTAATTATTCAGTTAAACTATTAACTTGTGTCCATGTACATATCAGGTGCATAGCCCATATGGTTCAGTGAACTCTGCAAACATTGTCAGGACATCTCAGCTTCATTAAGCTTGAACTAGAATGGCTTGTAAATGAACTTTTTTATATTAATAATCTCAGTGATGGACAAAATAAATTCACTGATTGTCAAAATCTAAATACAAGAGGAACAATTTGTAAAAAGTGGCGAAAATATGTCTTTGTTGCCTGTCCAACCACTATTAGCTAATTCTTGTAATGAATATTTGAGTGAAAGGTGGAATTTGATTTCATTGTGCCAACAATAGGAATGCCATACACCAAGATGCAAAATATTATTCTTCCTTTATTAAAATGTAAGTTTCACCTTTTCAGAAAACAAACATCATACACCCTTACCTCATTGTCAGTGCCTATGCAGCCAGTGCAGCAGTGTGAGGATTTGAATTCCCTGCTCTTCTCCCTCTTCTTTCTACAGCGCTTCCAGGACAGATCAGAGAGATTCTGATTGATCAGTGCTGGCACAGGGCATCACTCTAATCTGTCCCAGAAGCACTGCAGAGAGAAGATGGAGAAGAGCGGAGTTTGCTGCACCAGCTCTGTGGGAACTGACAGCTCATCACCAGGAAAGGTAAGTAAATCCGGGGACTAGGGTGGGAAGGGAGTGTGATGATTGTTCACCCTGTTAGGTTTTTCTCAAAAGGTGAACTAAACCCTTTAAAGTAACCAGAATCTCAGATGTGATTGTGGAGTATGGAGCTTGATCTTGCTTGGAGCAGCATGTGAAATATTTACCATTGGATGGCATTTGATTTGTTGCCTTGGGCAGCACTTACAATATATATTCTGTCTCCAAATTTCATAGTTCAGACCCAAAATCAAACATTTCACTTAGGTACTGGTATAGTAACTTTTATGTATTAGTTTTAGAGTATTCATTGTTTTAATTGATTAATTAATTAATTGTTTCACAAATGCTAATTATAAATGGTAAATATAAGTAAAAAAACAATGAATCGGTTGCAAATCCCTAAGAGCTTGTGTCAATGGCATCAGTTTGAGATGTTTTTGAGATTATTCAGAACTCATTTGAATTTATTTGACCTGCAGTTAGCCACCTATAATCTGAATTTGACCTGCCTCTAGTAGGTTTTGCATTCTCACAGACGTTTATGGAAATGCAAAGTCTGCTTGAAGTGAACAAAAGCCCACCTACACAGACCACATAGTTTTGACTTCTGCTGTTTTGTTACACTGCTATTCAGGTTTATTCCTCGTCATGAAGATGAGCTTGAACTGGATGTTGATGACCCATTATTGGTGGAATGTGAGGACGGTTCTTGGTGTCATGGCTATAACATGAGAACCGGGGAGAGAGGGATCTTTCCTTCATTTTATGCCCATGAGGTTGTCTGCCCTGTAAAAGAGAATGTTGGTAAGCAACATAGAGTTGTAGTCTTTTTTTTTTTTAGCAAATAAAAGAGATCTGTATAGTCTATACAATCTTATTGATGTGTGTTATTATTAAAAAAATGTTTGTGTCCATAATTTAGAATATATATGCAAGGGGCGCCACATTTTCCCATTACATATACAGGCTCTGTTTCCTGCTTGGTAGCACTACACACAATGCCTTTGTCTTACTGATCCTCTTTGTTCCTCTGCAGTTTGAAATGACAGGAAAGACCCACATTATGGTAAAGCCGATCAAATCATAACCTATTGATTCAATCTGACTTTTCAATAAATTGTTCTCTTTAAATGCTTTCATTATTCATAATTATTTCCAGAGCCTGCTGCTGGCTGTACAGAATCACTATTTTATAAGACCTTTAACAGAAAAATATAAACAGTGGAAATGAATATGCAGCTGAAAATGTGTTCACTTTAAATACCCAAGCATGAATAATGTAAACCATTAAAAAAAAACAGGATTTTTGCTTGAGAATAGTTTCATCTTATTTGCTAACCTAACTGATTTGTGACTTTGCCAATCAAAGTCTCTACTCCTTTAGTAAATCAGCTCCAATTTGTTTTCATTAAAATGTGCAACATTATATTATACTTCACCTTAAAATCCATATCTTTTTTGTTCATTGAGGGTCACAGGAAGTCTTTCACCTTTATGTTATACTGCTGCAATGTCCTAGGAGGATGGACTTTTTTTCTTCAGCTCTGCTGTGGGAATGACTGATCTATTTTTTCTAGCACATTTTTTTCTATTTTTTTCCCTTTTTTTAAGATGCTTCTCTACATCACTTTTAAAACTGGATTCTTCATTTGCTGCTATCTGGTGTGGCCATCCTCAGCTTGATTTTTGGAGTGCTGTGTCTGGACCCTGTTGGACTAGATTGGGATAATGTGGAAGTAGCCTGGGGCACTGTGTTCCATGTAGGGTGCTTTCCAGGCTCCTTGCTGGTAAAGGTTTGCCACAGTGTGCTTTCCAGGTCCAGAACCTTCTGCAGTTGCCTCAGCACAGTTGCCTTTTCTCTGAAGACTTATTTTGTGAGTAGGCCAGTCAGGCCAAGCACTAGGAACTATCTCATTTACTTAGATTGCTGCACACCCTCTAATGCAGCTGACATTTGCAGCCTGGAATAATGTTAACCTCATATAGCAGAGTCTGTCCCACCTTCAGAGTTTACTTTTGCTCTCTCAAGTGTTGCCGGATTCTTTGCCCTCACTGCTGAGGTTTTTACTATTGTCATGCAAGACTTTTTGAGCCAAGTCACCCAGTTATTTACTGACTAATGTCAGAGGCCACAAGCAAGCTCCTGTACCTTCTCCTACAGACTTCCTGACTGATTTACCCATGGCCTTAGCACGTTTTGTATCCATGCACACTGGGCATAAAAATTGCTGCTTATACAGGCAATTGTGTTTTTTTTTTTTCTTCAGCCTGTATAAGCAACTCTGTTAACCTATATGCCCATGCACATTGGGGCATTTAGAGGCATATTTGCAGAGGAGTGTTTTCAGGAAGATAAAAAAAACATCACAAAGGGCATTTTTATGCAGCTTTTTCTGCCAGAGGTTCTGATATTTTTTCTGCCCCTAGTGTGCATGGACTCTTACTTTGGATCATTCCAGTCTTTGGCTGCTGAGCCTGCTTCTGAGAAGTCAGAGTCTACTGCTATAACTCCCAAATTAAAAGAAGCAGTTTCAGCTCTTATCAATGCAGTGCTCACCACTCTGAAATTTGATAATTAGCCTGTTGCTTCTACCAGTGCTATTTTCAGACTTTGCTGTGGGTTCCTTGCAGTTTCAGTTTGTGGTCCTTTTTATTTGGAATCTTGTCTACGCCGCAGGTGTTCACCAAAGTGCTGACCACAATAGTAATTCTACTACACTCTAGTGGCAACCCCACTGTGAGATACTTAGATGACCTCCTGTTAGGGGAACAGTCAGAGAAGGCTCTCTAGGATAATGTAGCCCTGACCATTCAGACATTACAACAGTTCACATAGATCCTGAACCTTCAGAAATGATCACTAGAATCAACCCATTGTTGGAGTATTTGGGTCTAACCCTAGCTCAGGCCAGGAGTGTTTTTCCTTCAGGAGAAAATTCATACTCTCCCAGGTTTGTACTTGTCCCACTCTCAGCTTTTGCATGAGGATCCAAAGTCTGATGGCAACCTCTTTTGAAGTAGTCCTATTTGCCCAGTTTATCTCCAGACCTCAACATTGCCATTCTAGTCCAGTCCCCAGACAGACCAATTTGTTTGACATAGAGAACCTGGTGGTCTCTTGTTTGGTGGTTCAGAAATCCGGCTCTGGATATAGGGAGGTTCTTTCTTCCTGTCTTCTGAAAGATCCTACCAACAGATGCCAGCCTGTTAGGCTGAGGAGGTGTTCTGGGAATCGTTTTAGTGTAGTCATCTGATGAATCTGGTGTGTAGTCATCTGATGAATCTGGTCTCCCAATCATCATCCTGGCGACTTGGCTGTCTCTGCAGTGTTGGACCATCCTGCTCTAAAGTCATCCAGTCAGTCACAACAGTGGTGTACACCAATAATCATGGAGGGACCAAACATTTTGCCATGGCACTAGAGGTAGAGCAGATCCTGTCCTGGACAGAACTTCTTATCTAGCCTTCTCTGACATTTACATCCCAGGTGTGGACAGTTGCAAGGCAGACTTCCTCAGTCAGCAGCATCTGACCCGGGAAGTGGTCCCTACACCTGGAGGTGTTTCAGGACCTGTGTCACATGTGGGGGATGCCAGAAGCAGGCTTACTGTACTTCAGGTTAAACAACAGACTGCATAGGTTTGTATCCAGGTACAGGTATCCGTTCGTGGATGTTCTGGTGGCTCTGTGGATCAGTACACCCTGATCTATGCCTTTCCCTCCCCTAAAATGTCTACCTTGTTACTTTTGTAGAATCAAGATGGAGGGTGTTCTAGTGATTTTCATTGCTCCAAGCTGGTTCAAGCAGATGTGGTACTATGATCTGATAAGCCCCTCTCCTTCCTATAGCTGGGCCTGGACCAGTGTTTAGCTCTACATACTGTAAAAGATCAGGTTTATGCTCTTGCTGTCTTGCTTCAGATACCATTGGCCTCTCACTTCTTGATTAGAACCTTTATACAGGGAGTCTCCCATGTAGTTTCCCCTTTTCATTCCCATGTGACTCCATGGGATCTGAATATGGTTCTCTCTCTGCACTTCAAAAAATGTGTTTCCCTATTAGAGGTTTCAAACCCTGTGGAGCTTACGTCTACTCTCACCAACAAGATGGTATTTCTCACAGACATTACCTCTCCAAGAGGAGTGTCTGAACTGGTGGTCTTATCCTGTAAGGAAACCTTTTTGGTTTTACATAGGGACAAGGTGATGTTGAGGCCTAGGACTTCCTTCTTACCTAAGGTAGTCTGCCTTTCAATTCAACCAGGACATTGTTCTGTCCCTCTGTCCTGCTGAAGTTCACCCCAAGGAAATTTCACTCCATTGTCTGAAAAGGTTTGAACTTTGAGAGTTTATATCTCAGTCACTGGCTTCTCATTCCATCCTCTCTTGGTGGCTTAAACAGACCATCATCCAAGCTTATAGTCTTGATGATCAGGTTACAATCTTTTCTGTCAAGGAAAATTCTTCTAGATCAGTGAGTGTTTCTGGGGCTTTTCATCAAGGTTATGTTTCCCAGATTTGAAAGACTACCTGGTTTTCTGTTCAAACATTCTCTAATTCTATCAGGTGGATATTGAGGCCTCATCTAATGCCATTTTTCAACATAAAGTCTTTAAGGCCACTTTTGTAGGTGCAGGCAGTCCTTAGTTCTCAGTTGTTTTTATGGCTCTGTTAGTATTTTTTGTTGTGTTGCCCACTCCTCAGCTGAACTTCTTTTGGAGTTCCTAAAGGTGAAAATCATTGTGTGTCCCTCATTAGAAAAGAGAGAAAATAGAATTTTTGCTTTTTTTTGGAGTCGATTGAGAGACACAGGTCCCACCCCTCTGGGTTTTTATCATGTTCTTGGTGCTGCTTGATATAAAACTGAGATATGCAAGAATTAGTAGAGGTTATCATTTGCTGGCCTACAGCTTTTTTGTTTGGTGGTGTCCATTCCTTATGTAGGCAGCAGTATAAATCAAAGGTGAAAGACTTATTGTGTCCCTCAATGGACACCAAGAAAAGGCTTTTATGGTGTGTACATAAATTCTATTTTTCATACAAACATAGTACACATAAATCATTTATGTAGTACTTATGATGGCAGAAGAAAGAGAACAAGGACCAGAGGTGATAATTTCTTCTTCTGTATTCACAAAATGGGGAACAACAACGTATGCAGCTCTTGCATGTCTTTGGAGAAGTCTCTTGTGCAAATTTACTTTTATTGGTAGCAAGTTTACCTAAAATGCAATTTTTTTTTGTTTAATAAGCAAATGCTTAAGCATAGCTGCTTTTTTAAAACTGTTAAAGGAAACCTGTATTGAGAGAAATACGGTGGCTGTTATTGCTGTATAGGTGTATTAAGTGCTTTGTGAGTCATTGACCTAGAACAAAAAAGCAAATCAGGAAAGTATTGAAGCCAGACACAGCCATGCAAATAGCATCTTCATAGGGAGGCATCCTTTTTCCTTTTTCTTGGTTTTCTTTAATGCCAGAGAGTTATAAACAATAAACAAACGTATTTAATTACTTTGCAGTTCTCAAAGGAAATTCTCCCTGGGTCCAGATGTTTGATGTGCAGTTTTTGGGTTCAGTGGAGGTTCCACATCATCAAGGCAATGGAATCTTATGTGCAGCTATGCAGAAGGTAAGACCCTTTTATACTAAAAGCATCTTTAAGACTATCTTAAATATAGGATGAATCTGAGCTCCTTATTTTTTAAAACAGGATAAAACTATTACTTTTTAAGATGAATTATCTTCATTATGGAAGCCTTAATTTATGTGGCTTGTACTTGTACTACTAATACTCCAGAATGTAATCTATGGACTGACTTCAAACAGATGACAGCAAAGTATACTGCATGATGGTGCTGGGACTGAGTGAACTCAGAGGCTGATTATTGATTAAAAGGTTCACCTTTCAGAACATGTTACACCCATATTTAGAGTGTAATATGTAACATGTTCCAGCTCCTGCCCCCCTCTACCCCTAACTACCTCCCCTGTAACTGCTGTCACATTTTAAAACTAACGTGGCTGTGCAGGGCTGCGCCTGCACAGCCATGTTATTCGTTCACAGGAATCAGTAAAAGTTTCAACTGCCACCGCGGCAGATGGCTTGTAGAGCGCTCTTGTAGTTCACTGACACGTCCTCCAGCTTTCAAACATAAAACCTGTACAGAGGTAATGGGCAAGAAAGCTGGAGGACGTGTCTGCAGGAGCCTGACCCACTGATCACAGGTGTAAAGCTCTGCGGGCTCCTGTGAAAAAAATAAATGCACGTACATGTGTATTTATTATATTTTCCATGAAGGTGAACCTATCCCTTAATACCTGCTTCCACTGTATGAAGTGATTGCTCAGGTTTAAAATGTTAGCAACTGTAATGAACTGCTGTGTGCTATTTCTTATTGTACAATCAGATTGCAACTGCAAGGAAGCTGACAGTACATCTGCGACCGCCAGCCAGCTGTGAATTGGAGATTTCCCTGCGTGGTGTAAAACTCATTCTAAGAGGAAATGACAGGCCAGAGGTAAAAAAAAATATATATTTTTTTTACATGTTAAACAACTTTAATATTCAGATATTTAAGTTACGTAAATATTGACTTGATGTTAGGAATATAGAAACCTTATTTTCTCATTGCTTCCAATCCTTGGAATTTGCATATTTTCTGAGCAGTACATAAATGGGCCAAAAGACACATCATCTCATAAAAACTTCTGCTGTGTGGAAGGCCACCATGGTACACATTAAATGGCTTAAGTAGCCCAAAGATTATTAATTTTTTTTGGTCAATGAGCAAGTTGAACAATAAAAAAAAAATTACTTGATCCTTTCCCTTTGTATTCTGAATACACTATTCAGTGCTGCTGGCTTTAGCCAGGAGCACTGATTGAGGGGCAAAAATCAGACAGGGGGCAGTCGTAGTAATAAAAAGTTAATTCGTAGATCGACTTCTGTACAACCACCCTGCCCTTTATACTTGGATCAAAATTTGGCTGATCCCTGCTAAACTGGCCAAATTTCGATCCATGTATGGCCAGTTTTAGCACAAATTGCCAGATCATAGAACAATAATGAAATCTGATCTTCTTTTCATATACCGTGTTTTTCGCTCCATGAGACGCACCTGACTAGGTTTTAGAGGAGAAAAACAAGAAGAAAAATATTCTGAACCAATGGACTGCAGACATAATACAGGAAGTGACCAGACACTGCGGACACAGTACAGGAGATGACCAGAGACTGCAGACAGTACAAGAGATGACCAAAGACTGCGGACACAGTACAGGAGAAGGACCAGAGACTGCGGACATAGTACAGGAGATGACCAGAGACTGCGGACATAGTACAGGAGATGGACCAGAGACTGCGGACATAGTACAGGAGATGGACCAGAGACTGCGGACAGTACAGGGGATGACAAGAGACTGCGGACAGTACAGGAGATGACCAGAGACTGCGGCCAGTAGAGGAGATGACCAGAGACTGCGGACAGTACTAGAGATGACCAGAGACTGCGGACACAGTACAGGAGATGACCAGAGACTGCAGACATAGTACAGGAGATGACCGGAGACTGCGGACACAGTACAGGGGATGACCAGAGACTGCAGACATATTACAGGAGATGACCAGAGACTGTGGACATAGTACAGGAGATGGACCAGAGACTGTGGACACAGTACAGGAGATGACCAGAGACTGCAGACACAGTACAGGAGATGACCAGAGACTGCGGACACAGTACAGGAGATAACCAGAGACTGCTGACACAGTACAGGAGATGACCAGAGACTGCGGACACAGTACAGGGGATGACCAGAGACTGCGGACACAGTACAGGAGATGACCAGAGACTGCGGACACAGTACAGGAGATGACCAGAGACTGCGGACACAGTACAGGGGATGACCAGAGACTGCAGACATATTACAGGAGATGACCAGAGACTGTGGACATAGTACAGGAGATGGACCAGAGACTGTGGACACAGTACAGGAGATGACCAGAGACTGCAGACACAGTACAGGAGATGACCAGAGACTGCGGACACAGTACAGGAGATAACCAGAGACTGCTGACACAGTACAGGAGATGACCAGAGACTGCGGACACAGTACAGGGGATGACCAGAGACTGCGGACACAGTACAGGAGATGACCAGAGACTGCGGACACAGTACAGGAGATGACCAGAGACTGCGGACACAGTACAGGGGATGACCAGAGACTGCGGACACAGTACAGGGGATGACCAGAGACTGCGGACACAGTACAGGAGATGACCAGAGACTGCGGACACAGTACAGGGGATGACCAGACACTGCGGACAGTACAGGGGATGAACAGAGACTGCGGACAGTACAGGGGATGACCAGAGACTGCAGACAGTGCAGGGCATGACCAGCGGACCTTTAGGGAGGGAGGGGGAGCGGGTACCTGAATTTGACAGGTACCCGCTCCCACTTCCGCGGAGTTCTTCCTATACTGTGGGAACCCGACTTTGACAGCTTGGTGCCCACTGCGCATGCGCGAGAAGTGCTGCGCTTTGTGAATGGCCCAGCGTCTTTTGGGACCTGTCATGTGTCCCAGAAGACACCGGACCATTCACAAAGAGCAGCGCTTCTCGCGCATGCGCAGTGGGCTCCCGGCTGTCACAGTTCCCGGGGCGGGGGAAGAAGCCGGCACGGGAAGACTACAGCGCTGGACCAAGGAACAGGTGAGTTCCTGCTGCAGAGAACAGCTGAGCGGCCGGCCCGGTATTCTGACATGGTGGCGGCGGAAATACTGGACCAGCCGCTTTATATTCGCTTTATAAGACGCACTGACATTTCCCCCCCGTTTTTGGGGGGAAAAAAGTGCGTCTTATGGAGCGAAAAATACGGTACTTCACATAGTTCATTTGGGCCAGCTTGGCCCAAACTAACTATGTCCCTCACTAACCTGTGAGGCCGCTGGATGTGTGCTATAAACTGTATGTAGCTGCGGTTCCGTATGCAAACCAAGATTTCCAGTCTCATACCCAGAACACAGTAGAGTCTATCACAACGGTGCTCAGCCATTCAGAGAAAGCAATGTAGTCTATCAATGAAGACAAAGCTTCCTCTGATTGGCTGAGCCAGAAGTTGTGACATCATCAGCCTGCCTCTCTGACTCAGCCAATCAGAGGAAGCTTTGTATTCATTGATAGAATACATCGCTTGAATGGCTGAGCACGATTGTGATAGACTCTACTGTGTTGTGGGTTTGAGACTGGAAGTCTCTGCTTGAACCCTGAACACAATGTGGTATGCTGTAAGTAGCCGCAGCTACATACAGCTTATACTGCACATGCAGTGGCCTCACAGGTTAGAGAGGGACATAGTTTGTTTGGGCCAAGCTGGCCCAAACAAACTAAGCAAAGTAGATCAGCCTTAAAGCAGAACTAAATCCTCTTACCCTATAGAGCCACAGAAGTTGCCATTTTAGCCTCTGTTTGACCTGAAGTTTCCATAGTGCTGCACATGTGCTCAGTTATGACATCAGCCGTTTTAATATTACAATACGATTATATAGTAAATATGCATTGCACACTTGGCTACATGGGGTATTGCCGCAGGTGACCATTCAGGGTATCACCCTCATCCATGGCAAACAAACGAAAGGTTTTGCAGGTAGATAAAGAACACAGTCAGTATATTATCAGTGACTGGAAATGTCACTTACTGCAGATGTATAGTGCTATGATTGTGTCAAGCGGCAAGGGGACACATGTGAAGGCAATATTCTTGACTGGGTCACTTTAGTATTGGAAAGATGAGTGCATGAAGTAAACTCAATACTATATTGTTCTATACAAGCGTGATACAAACTCCTGACATTTGTTTTGCATGTAATATTTACAACAAATGCAAGGTTATTTCTCATTTTTTTTTCCTAAAATGTAATTTCATCTCCACTTCCACTTTTTACATATAAATCAATCATTGTAGTAAATCCAGATGATCTGTGCATTAAAACTGAATTTCTAACACCATTTTTAATTGGAAAAATAGTAGTGTGGTATTGAAAATTCCACATACATTATGCTTTACTGTACTGACCCCAATGTAGATAATTGAACACTTTTAGAACCAGCTGAAAGATACAAACTATTGCAGAGATTATTTTCAGTGGAAATTAAGGGACTAGGTGTTATTTCCAGTGCTTGCAGTTCCATGAACATAGTTACTGTCCAAGTGATGGTCGAGATCCGCTGTCTTATAATATCATTCTGATTTGTTGTTCTGCAGGATGAACGCTGCAGTCATTTCTTCCAGATGAAGAATATTTCCTTTTGTGGTTGTCATCCACGTAACAGCTGGTAAGAAATGAAATGGTTTTAGGAACTGGGATATGTGCACCTTTTAGCAGATTAGATTTGCGCAAATGTAATCTATAGGCAAAAGCATGGCCAGTATTTTTGTTCTGACAAATAAAATAACTAAAAGGCAAACAGTCATAACAAAAGGAAAGTTCAAGGCAGGTGCGGACTGACCATTTGGAAACTCAGGCACTGCCCGAGGGCCCGGGGTCAGTAGGGGGCCCCATAAGATGCCCCTGGTACCTTTTTCATACGCTTTTTTTGAGTTTGGGCAAGGACACAGGGGCCCCATGATCCCCTGTTGCCCGGGGGCCCCATGAGTTGTCAGTCTGCCCCTGGTTCAAGGGGAGTTTTTTTCTCATGTTGTTACTTTTATTTTGGTTAATTATATCTTGGTTTTTAGGTTCTGGTCAGGTTTAAAATAATTTTTTTTACATTTAGTGAGCAGAATATTATGAAGATAATTGCAGTTCATTTAGCATTTACATATTTTAAATCTGTTTTTATTTGCTGCTACAGCTATTTTGGCTTCATCACAAAACATCCTGTCCTCAATCGATTCGCGTGCCATGTCTTTGTTTCCCAGGATTCAATGCGACGTGTAGCTGAATGTGTGGGGTGAGTTTAATACAGAATGACAGATTGAGTAAACACATAGGAGGTTATTCACTTAAACTGGAGAGTGCAAAATCTAGTGCAACTCTGCATAGAAATCTATCAGTTTCCAGGTTTTAGCCCCAGTTCACACCGAATTGCAACATTAAAATAGTGCTACTTGAATTGAAGTAGTGCAATTTCACAGCTATGGACCCAGTGCGATTTCATATGCGGCTTGCCTGACATCTGTGCAACTTCATGCACAGATGTCAATGCAAGTTGGACCTGAAATTGCAGAAAATAGTGCAGGAACTATTTTCAGAATCCACCGGAGTCGCACTGATTCGAATGGTTCTATTGCCGACAATTATCACGCAATTTGGAACCTCCAAATCATTTGCACTGTTGTGTATGGGGGCTTATTGCCAAAGCTTAATTGAACAAGCTGAAGTTAGAAGCTGATTGACAACCATACACAACTGCACCACATTCTGATTGCACCCGTTTTAGTAAGGGCTAGTTCACAGCATGCCTGCATTTGAATTGCACAGGAACGTGCAGTGCGTTCCCATGTGTTTCACATGCGGTTCTGTGCGATGCAAATTTAGCCCATTCATTTTGAATGGGCTGAAATCTCACCGCACCACACTGCACCAAATGAGTGAATGCAGTACTTTTTAAAATGCACTGCAACTGGATGTCACAGTACAAAGGTACTATGTGATCCGGTGAAGGGCATGTGTGGACAAATATACTGCGTTTGGGGTGTCGTTAAGTTTTTATTGACACCCGCTGCAAATGTAGTGCATTTTGATTCAGATGCGTGCATGGTGTAAACCTGCCCTAAATCTCCCCCATAGTATTTACTACTAATTTACTACTATTGATTTTTACTAATACTTGGACTGATCACAATAATGTCCATGTTTTCCATTACCATTGCTTTCATAATAGCATGTGTTTTTGCAGATGACATTATACACTAGCCCATTAGCAATAATTCTGATTTGCCACTGTACAGGGACAATAAACAGTTGATGGGTTGCACTGAATTTTGGCATTATGTAAAAAATGCTCTACATAAGATTGAGCCTCTGCCAGTATACATATAGGGGGCCTATTTATACATTTTAATTCACCTGACTCTTCCACAATTTAATGTGAATTTAGAAATGACTGACTATAAGAGATGTGATATTAAAGTTTAGTGGAAACAATGATGAAAAATACAGACTGATGAAAAGAAGGGCAAAAGTTCCTTCTCCGTAAATGATCTGCTAAAAATAATAAAAAATAAAATAGATTACATTAGCCTTGAGACAAAAAATACATTTTTAGCAAACAATTGAAAAAATGAAAGTTTTAAAGTTTTACTAAACCCACACAAGTAAAATCAGTCTGTATATGCAGTAAAGCATGCTTGTTATACTTACTGTGGAACCTGAGGGGTTAATCCCCTGCATTGTGTAAAAAGGCCGTTTGATCCCGACTTCTCTGATCCTCCCCTTATTTCACTGTTCCTCTCTTATCTCCTGATAAGACATATCGTGTGGAGTCACTCTGCACAGTCTCAGTTTGGTGTGTATTGCTATAGGTTTTTTTTCTTGGGAGAGTGCATGTGATCAGCACAAGGACAATCAGCACTGTTCAGGCAGAGGTCAGGGGTTCTGCATCCTCCTAGAGCAAAATGAAAACTCCTCCTACAAGCTTTAACAAGTGCTCTGCTGTACACTGATAGAAATCACAAGATTGCTCTAACTGCTGATAAGAAAAGGTATTTAATGGTTGAACTGGATGGACTTTTGTCTTTCTTCAGCCAGACTAACTATGTAACAGTTTAAATTTACTAAAATAATTGCACTTCCATGTTCTGTGTACTGTGGGAGACCAGATATAGTGAATGCAGGGTCCAGGGTTTAGTAACACTTTAAATGGTAATTCCTTTTCTACAATATACATTTGCTTGCATATTATCATTGGTAATAACTGAACAGTGGTCAGCTGAAGCTGCTTTATAAATAGGTGCTACTTATTTACTACAAAACAAATTTATAAAAATGCAGTTTTATTTATGAGATTTACGAATAGAACCTCTCAGAGACACCAGACTAAAAACTGTAATGTTTATTTACTAAAGCTGGAGAGTGTAAAATCCGGTGCACCTGTGCATTGTAGCCAATCAGCCTCTAACGTCAGCTTGTTCAAGCTTAAAGGATAAGTTCACCTTTTGGACAAAAATAATAAATGCACATTTTTTTGCAGGTAAAAAAAATGTGCATTTATTATTTTTGTCCAAAAGAAAGCATTGCACCAGCAATCAGTAGAGCGCTAATGCCATGCAGGTCTCCTGCAGACCTGTCAGAATATCTGTTTGCTGTACAGGATGTATGAGCAAGCAGATATTCTGACAGGCAGCTTCAATGAACTACCACGGCGCACCACAGTTAATTGAAAACTACAATCCCACAGCCGCTAAGTCTGTCGGGTCTTGCAGTTCATTAATTCACGATAGTCTGTGAATGAATGACATGGCTGTGTGGGCAGAGTCCCGCTTGCCTGCGCTGTTTTCAAATTTGACAGATAGTACGGGGAGGGGTGCAGTGGGCACAGCTGCAGCTGTGGGAACATGTTACATATTCCATACTAAAAACAGGTGGAACATGTAACATGTTCCAAAGGTGACGTTTTCATTTAAGCTTTGACAAAAAAACCTGGAAGCACGGTTTTCCAGAGGATGGAAGGATCAGGTAAGTGTAGCCTTTCAATGCACCCCCAGACAAAACGAGCTGCTAACCCATACATTGTGGGCACAGCCCCACTGCATAGGAGAAAACAATTGTATAACGTTCTTATTTAAGCTTTGACAATAAAACCTAGAAGCTGATTGGTTTGCATGCAGAACTGCACCAGATTTTGCATTCTCCGGTTTTAGTAAATCAACCCCTGTGTCTTCTATTAGATGTCTGATAAGTGGCACAATCAGAATGTGAGATGTTTGTGATGACCGCTCTTCCTTTTTTCTCTTTCTAGACGAGCTTTCCAAGAATTCTACCAGGAACACGTGGAATTCAGTTGCCCCACAGAAGATATTTACTTGGAGTAACCAAGGGGTTGTAGATATTAAGGGTGGGGTTCTTGGGGTATAAATATATATACAAGTCTCAATGTCATCATCACCCAGCCAGGACACCAGAGGCAATGAGCCTGCATGAACCCTGACATCCCCCAGCCACAGAACTATACCATTTCATCGGTACAGGGCATCTCACATTAACCCCTTTCCTACAGCAAACTGCAGAGAAACTCCTGTAGCCCTTCCATTTCTTCTCACTTTACTCTCCCACCTGCTGTAAACTTGCTAGCACTCTGCATTAATTCTTGACCAAGTTTGCAGTGCCTCTCAGAATAATCCCTTTCTTGCTTCAGGCAGTAGAGCATGTTGGGTTAACAAGTTCCTTAGACGATCCTGCAGGGCGTCTAAACAGAACAGCTCATATATTAGAAATTGGGGAGCATTGAGTTAACCCTTTTGGACTCCAGACCAGCAAAGCACTTGAAATGACCCACATTCCTTGCTGCACACTTCACTTTATCTAATGCCTCGCTGCAGATCAGCAGAGAGTTTGATGTTGGCTTCCTTTCTAGAGCACACCTTGAGAGCATGTATATGAACCTCTACTGAGCTTCTTTAGCAGTCACCCTGGCAGTTTCTCTGGTAATGTGCAGGTGTGCCTTTTTTAAACATACACAATTGGACAAAACTGCAGCTCATTACTCTAACCCTCCTACATTTTCTGATACGTGGATAACTGGTTTGGGCAATAAGTTTAGGCTCGACTCCTTTATCTACTCCACGGGTCTCCCTTTCCCACAAAAGCAAGTACATACAGTACAGTACATCCTTGTCATTTCTGCATCCCATAGCTAAACTCTGTTGTCTTGTAAATGTAACTTCAGTCTCATTCTTGTGTGGCCAACCAACATCCCAAAGGCCCTCTGGTGGCTTTATAATCTGGAGGACAGAGGCAGCTCTTCTTGATGACTGGGTAGAAGAATATTTATCAAATGATCAGTTTCTTGCTCATGTCTGTCAAACTTGTTAATGATGCTGAGAGTAACAGCGTCTGCCATTACAGTGTATTCTGTGCTGTTACAAGTGTGTGTGATAGCTGGTGTATTCGAAGAGAAAAGCATTATTTTAGTTGTCATTTGAGATAGGGCATATTGAGCTTTTTGGAGGAGCCCAGCTTCCGTTAGTTATGATCAGCGTAGCATTTGATAACTGTCTCTCTCACATGCTAGTGATCAGCAGCTTTCTGCTTTGTTCCTCCCATTTGTGTATCAGAACCTACCTGTCGTACCCTACTTGTTGTTCTGACACTGACCTTTCTATGCCAAACCTGCAGTGAAGGGGTTAATGGCATGAAGATTCAGACTGTACAGCATGAAGATAATGTAGACACTAGGTGCATAGAGACTATACCCTCACTATATCAACAGGTGATGCTCGAGTGGATGCTACCTATGGAAAATCCTATAAAGTCATAACATGAATATCATGGAAAATCATTCATGGAATAGGTTTGTTGTTAAGGGAGAGTTAACATTTTCTTTATGTAAAATAATCATTAACCTGCTGAGGTATTTTGTGTAGGATGAAGGAACATTTTATCTAACCAGGTGAAGTCCTAGGTCAAGTGCTTGCATAGAGAGTCCTTATCTGCAGTGTCGGCTCATGTGAAATACTCAGAGGAGAACATACATATCTACATAGCATAAAATGAAGAGGGCCTCACTTACAAAAGGTGTCTGAAAATAAGAACTGTCTGGGTTATGCACAGTCACCAATCAAAGCCTCCAAAAGGACTTAGTTCTGCACTCCTGTGACCCATTTTCAGCCGGCAGTGGACTAAAGCCCGCTGTCAGCTGACATCGCTCAGCCGGTCCAGGCTCTGGAAAGATCCCAACTTTAATGTGGAGATCCACCCAGATGCCTGGACCAGCAGCCAGCTCAGCTTGCTGAGAGCCTGAGCCAGCCACTCCCAGCCCTTCACAGCCCCGCATTCCAGTGAGTGCTGGAGGGACAGAGCAGAGAGCTGGAGACTGACAGCCACTGGCTGTCTTCTCAATGAAAAACTGAGTGATCAGCTGTCTTTGATCACTCAATTCTCATCTTAGAAGAAGCGGGGACAGATGCAGCATTGAATGCTGTATCCACCTAGGTGAGTGTAAATGTGTTTTTATTTTTGGAATCCCGAACCTTTCTTTATTAAACAGGTTGGGGACTAAATCGGGTTTTACTTGCTGGCACACTACAAGAAAGTGGCTTTTGAAAGTTGAGAGGAACATTTTGGGAAAAGCTATAAAAAAAGGATCAAAATAGAATCAAACTAGTGAAAGGCTTATATTAGAAGTGATGGTGTTTACCACTTTACCAAGTGCCGAACAAATGAATGAAAGTAGTAAACTTGATTATCAGAAAACCTTCTGGTCAATTCTGGAAGAGGAAATAAAAGGGAGCAAAAAAGCAGCAATTAACAATCTGAAATTTGTATAAATAGGACCCAAGATTTTAACTGTTAGTGGCAATTGGAAAGCTAACATCTGATAGGTGGCTGTAGGCAACACAGTTTTTATGGAAGATGTTTTTTTTTAAATGAGGTCTACAGTGTTCTTGTTAGGAAATCCTGAGGATCTGCACTGTCTAGAACCCAAAGACTGAATTTGTCAGCTGCAGAGGGGGAAAAGCATGACATTTAATCGCACTTGATAATGGGATATATCTTTTTCATGTCATGGCTCATTTATTTTCCTTTCAGCATTCAATAAAAAATGAGCTGCATTTCTGGTGTTTAATGTTTTGTGAGTGAGTGGTAAAAATGCACATTACATGCAATCATGTTCATACACACAAATGTGCATGATATTCACATATGCAAGTCATTCCCTCAAGGAAAAGCTCTCATCAGCAACTGAGTATACATGCTGTATATGCTTAGCTCTCTAAAATGACAAAGTGGTTTATTTATTAACAATAAAGAGTGCAAAATCTGCTGCAGATGTGTACCTTAGATTTTACGCCCCTCGAGGGTTAGGGACTGATGTGAAAGTACAATATATGTATGTAAAAGCGCTGCGTAAATTTGACGGCGCTATATAAGTACCTGAAATAAATAAAAATAAATAAAATAGTAGACAATCAACTTCTAACTTCAGCTTGTTCACTTAAAGAGGAACTTTATTTTCCCATGCAGTGGGGCTGTGCCTGCACTGCTAGGGTTAACTGCTCATTTTCGTCTAGGGGATTGCAGAGCAGAGATATACTTAACTAATCCTCTGATCCAACAAGCACAAGACCAGTCCCCACCGTTTCTGCCCCCCTGCACGCTAACAGTCTTGTGAGTGGACTGTTCCTGGTGTCATCACACCCATAAAGCGGCTCTGGATGTGAGGACAGCAGGAACAGTCCACTGCTGGATGTGGGGGAGCGAGGTTTTCCAGAGGATGGCAGGATCAGGTAAAAATAGCGGTTCAGTGTGTCCCTAGACAAAACGAGCTGTTACCCCATACAGTGTGGGCACAGTCCCACTACATGGGAGAAAAAAAAAATTATGGAGTTCTTCTTTAAGCTTTGACAAAACCTGGGAGCTGGTTTCTATGCAAAGTTGCACCAGATTTTGCACTTTCCAGTTTTAGTAAATCAACAACACAGAATACCACACATAACATGTTTGTAAAGTGCTACTTACCCTAGAGGGACATGATAGTAACCATTTGGCTACAATCTTGGGGCCGAGCATAGGCAAATTAGTGGTCCCACTGGACTGGGCTTTTTTCTGTGGGGCCATTAATTTGCTTACCTGTCTTTGTGCTGGGAGCGTGCCACATCGCAGGCTCCCAGTACAAAGACCGGGGTGTCAGTGCCAGTCCCGGGTCCTGTTCTACGATTGGGACCCAGAATTCCTGATTCTGTGTCACATAATCACTGCGAAAGCCTCTGATTGGATATCACAGTGATCAGTCACTGTGAAGCCTGCCCCCTTGTTTTCTCTCTCTGAATAGAGGAGAGAAATGCATTGCATCTCTTTCTGTCCTTTCAGAGAGAAAAAAAAGTATTTTAAAAAAAAAAAAATACAAATATTAATAAAAAGTAAATAAAAATATCTAGATCAAGGTTTGATCTAGGTCAGTGGCAGGGTTAGTGTTTAGGTCAGGGTCAAGGGTCAGGGTCAGGGTCATTAGTATTTTTTTGCATTTCATTTTTAAATTACTATCAGTGTCAGTTAGTGGCAGGATGAAAAAAAAAAACCAGCAAAATACACACTATTGGTTCTGGGCCGTACTAGGAGTACAAACAACAACTAACATACACATATGCTGTACCGCTGCGATCGTCAGCAGCAGGAGACATTATTTTGGGTTGTTCTTTGGTGGTAGGTTATGGTAGTAGCAAGAAATATACAACTAAATTTAAATTTTTTTTTTAATTATTATTATTTTGGGTCAGATTTCCCTTAATAAAATAATAATAAAATCAGAAGATAACCATTACCATTTACCACCAAATTAAAGCCCAATTTGTCGTGAAAAAAAAACAAGGTATAATCCACCCGGATGCACAGAGTAGTGATGATATGTACAGTTTTGCTAACACATGTCAAAGTTGCAAAATTTAGCTTAGGCTTTAAGATTTGTTTTACCCTTAGACGTGAAGGGGTTAAGATTCAACAGTAGTAATGTTCCAAAAGTATTTCTTGGCTTCCACAACTTGCTTCTATCTGATGCTTCTAAATTTGTCACCTGCTGCAATTCCAACATACTGTTTGAATGAAAGAGCATATGTGACCTATGTCACTGCAAGCCGGCCAGAGGGAGATGTCATGCTGCAAAGATAACAGAAGTGTCAGTTCATCTGCTGCTTTGTGCACTGGGTGGATGCCAGGACTTCAGGGCAAACAGACCATTCGAGTTACCAAAGGTTCTAATAGTGGGCTCCAAGCCTAAGTGGCTGCTGCAACATATTGAATAGTAGAATGTAGGAAAAGTTATTTAATAAATTGCTTCCATGTTATAATCTAAATTGTGCCCTTGTAAATGATAGTT